GTGTAAGGATAGCCCTTTAACGGTCCTTTTTATCAAAGATCCCTAGAATGTTATCACATCCCTTCTTTTAAAGCAAACACTTGGATAAATATATGTTCAAAGTTCTACTCCGGAATATTTTCCTTCCTTCCTTCCTTCCTTCCTTCCTTCATTCAATCATTCATTCATTTTCATCAAATACCAATATCAAATAAGATTTTTTTCTATTTCTTTTGGTATATATATTCTTGATCGTTTCAATTTTATCCTTTTTATTAAATAATTATTTGTTAGTTATTACAAAATAAATAAAATACAAAATTGCATCAAATTTTGTTAATTCAATAAAAGGGGGGGGGGCTTTTATTTCTTGGCTTTCTAATTACAATATTATCTTTTAATATATATATATGTATATAAATGCAGTGTGACGTTGTTTATCCACAATGGACTCCTAAACTACTGAACCGATTTTAATCAAATTTAGCACACTGTGTGCAGTTTCATTCAACTTGAAATATAGGATTAGTTTATATCTCAATTTATACTCGCAATATTATTTTATTATTTGTTTATTAACAAAGAGTCATGATTATCTCCGTTAGTTCGATAAAATTCTAATAAATATTGAAATTAAGCATCAGAAATATTATTCAAATGTAAATTGTCATAGAATTTGATTAATTTGTTATCTACAAATTTCTAAAGGAACCAAACAACAAAGAAATATTTAAACTTCTCTCTCTCTCTCTCTCTCACGACATTATTTCAAACGTTTATGTCACGTTGCTGCTACTGCTGGTGCTGGTACTGGTACTGGTGGTACTGGTGGTACTGGTGGTGGTGCGTTACGAAACGTGTTGTAGAACCCTTGAATTCTCGAATATTTCTCAATAAACTCGATGGAAAGGAAACTCGAGAAAGATGACAATACAATCCAATTCCATTATATAACCTTCCAAGTCGAGAAGGACTCGGAAAAATCAAAAGGAAAAATCCAAATCTGTTCTGAGACAAGACACACACACAGTCAGTCAGTYTCAAAGATCTAGAAAAGCAATTTTGTTCTTATCTGAATCAAACAAACAAACCCCTATTCTTCTACTTTTATATTGTTTAATAAACGTACATTTATTTGTAAAATAATTTTTTAATAAATATCTCTAATCAAATAAATTCTCCAAATTTTAATCTCAAGTACAATACTCCAAATAGATAACCAAAAGATAATAATAAATAATCTCGAAGTGTGCTTGAACTGCTTGAAAATATTGAAAGATGTTGAAAAATATTTTTAAAAAGAGAGAGAGAGAGAGAGAGAAACATTCAGCATTTCAGGGTGACTCGAGGAAACTGTTTATTAAAAAGCTTTTAGCGATATTAGACCACCACCNCAGCAACAGCAACAGCAGCAGCAGCAGCAAGCATTCGTAGAGACCACTCACGAGTTCCGCTGGTAGCCAAGAGAGAAACTTAGACCACCACCACCACCACCACCACCACCACCACCACCACCACCACTACCATCATCAGCACTATCACCACCCACGAGGGACTTTCTTTTCGTTACAAAGACGAAAAAGCGGCGGGGTGGTATGAGAAAATTTCAACGGGTTTTCACAACGTTTTCACGACATTTTCATTCCCATTCCTACAATTCTTCCAGTCCCCCTCTTACCCTTCACCCCCTCTTTATTTTCACCCTTTCGCCATGTCTCTTTTCTTCTGTCCTTCTTCTTCTTCTTCTTCTTCTCCATTTGTTTACTTTATTTCATTTTCTTTTGATTTATTTTTTAAAGAGAAAATCAAATAAATAATAAAATGCAAAACAATTTAATTGGGTTTGTGAGGGGGGACAGGGAACAGGGGGGGTTGTTGCGTAAAGTGTTGAGATGTAACTGTAAATTTCTTTTTTCTTTTTTTTTGTTTCTTTCTACGTTTTAGTTTCATCTTTTCGTCTGAAAAAAAATAAAAGTCACAGTTAGTGTATAGTTTTTTACCCTTTCTTTCTTTTTTCTTTTTTTTTTTTTGTTCTTTTTCTTTTTTAGTGGAAAAAAGATGAAAGAGAGGGAAATATAGTAGTGGAGTGTTAAAGTAGCGACGTGGTTCATCGATTTTGCGGACGTAAGCTCGACGACGACTCCCCGGTGCTAGTAGTTTTCGCCTTTTTCGCGAAACCTTGATATATACCACCCTTCTTCTTTTTTTTTTTCTTCACAGCATCATCCCTCAAAAGCCCCCTCCGATTTTCTAGGGCTCGTTAAAATACTTTCCAAGCACACCAACACATACACACATACTGTACTCTCCTATTACTCCATACTACTACTACTACTACTACTACTATTACTACTGTCTATGCTTTTTCTTTTTCTTTTTCTTTTATTCGTTTTGTTGAAAAACTTTGAAAACACCGCTAATGATGGACTCTCCTTGACATCGCCTATCGAACTTCAATTTCCTTCGTGAATTTACCTAAGGACACACACACACAACTCATTCACTCACTCGACACTTTATTCTTTTACTTACTAAAAATAGTACTTAATGAAATTTGATTGGAAATATTATAAGACCACCATAGCATTCTTTTAAAAGTTGCACTAATGTAAAATGAGAAAGGGAAGAAGAAAAAAAAAAGAAAAAAAGCAGCTTTTAAAAAAGAAACAGTGGTTAACTATATAAGCCCTTTCTGTCCTTGGTGTGGTGTGTATTGTGGCGCACGCGTTCCACGTTTGAACGAACCAAGTCGCGTGCAACTTACACTCTCATTGCGTTTTCCTTTCCGCGTGGGTGGAGATATGCGGTTTACCGAGGCAACCCAAGTGCATGACACATGTGGAAAACCACATATCCTTCCTTCCTTCCTTCCTTCCTTCCTTCTGTCCTTCCTACTATACACCACCATATGCTTTTCATATGTATTCACTTCCTGTCTTTTACCTTAGAAAACTTTGTCAACATTGGTGGTGGTGGTCAACTTAGTGATGACCCCCAATGTGATGACTCATTCAAATTTCATATTTTCTATTTGTTTTTTTCTTTTTTTTTCTATACTCGTTAAATTTTCATACAATATTTTCTACAACTCATTGAAACATTTGTATTAGGTATTTTTTTTCCTTTTTTTTAAATAATATCGAACGATTTTTAACGAGATAATAATAAATAATCGATTAATTAATTAATTGTTCGTTTTTTTTTCTGTGTTATCGAAACTTCATTTTATTTTATCTTCCTATCTGATTTTCTTTCTCTCTTACACACAGAACATACATGAACAACTATATCTATATATATATTGCTTATCGACAACGTGTTACCGATCGAGATAATAATAGAACGGTTCATGGTTCAGTCTTTGTTGTTCATGGCCGTTCATAGTACGTTGGATCATTTAAAAATACAATTTTTCTTTTACGTATTTTTTTTTTTTACATTCACTTTTATTCTTTTTATTTTTTAATTATTAGCTGCGTAGATGAGGTTCTTCAAATGGTACCCCCCCCCACCACCACCACCATTTATTTTGTCATTTAAACAGTAATGAACGTGTTGAGAAGAGTAATAATTTTGAAACATATTAGTGTATAATTGAAATAGAAATGTTCTCAAAAAGATATTAAAAATCAATTACCGTTATACGAAAAGCTTTTAAAGTCTAATTATTGTCTGTTTTCTTTCTAATTGTTTAATTCTAACAAATTACAAAGATACTTTTATATATCCCCAATCCCAATGTATTTTCTCAAAGTATATTTCACAAAGTAGGAGAAGTAAAGAAATGAGAATGCTAGTTTGGAGAGAGAGTCCTTTAACTTTGTTCTTTTTTTTTTTTNAATTTTCTTTTATCCTATATTTTTCTTCTTTATTTTTTTTTTTTTTTTTTTTTTTTCAAAAAGAGTAAGCGAAAGAAGAGAAGCAAGCAAACGAGTCAGTCGTCTTTGTAGTTAACTTACATCCGTCCTTCGTCACTTTTTTAATTAACGATCTACTCAAAACTTAAGAAGTTTCTTTCCTTCTTTCCCTTTTAATATAATAATATCTTTGAAATAAAAAAAAAAGGTAGATAAAGAAAAAACCACTCCCATCGACGAGTCGATTCGTAGACATTTTTAGATTTATTTCAATATGTTTCAATATTTCTCCATGAATTTTTATTATTAACCAATTAAGTGTGTGACGATGATCTGTGTGTAGAGCGCGTTCTGAATGTGTTGTCGCGATAATTAAGCGATGACGGATATAGTCGTCAAACACACTTAACTGATTAATTTATCAAAAAGAAACAAAGAAAAACTAAAAAAAAAAACATGTGTGCAGATTACACGTGTTAGAAGTGAAACTTTCAAAAATCCAAGAGTTTCGAGAGAATGTGACGAATTCACAGTTTCAAGAGTAAGATAATTGTAAGATTTATTTATTATAATATTATTGCAATATATAATAAAGGTCACCGGTATGGTCTCTGGATGGAATAGCTGATAAAAAGTACACTTTTTCAAATTCAAGCAATCGTGGGCCCTTGCATAGCGGCCCGTTGCTTCGTTGCCTATCCGTATACAGGCTCAGTTGCCTCGCCATCTACCGGTTCGTTGCCTGAACCACCCATTTCTTTTCAAATCATCACCCCCTATTGTAAATAGGATAGATGTCGCCACTCGAACGGTGTGTAAAAAAAAGGCGGGAAATTTGATTGTCCTTCTTATAAGAAAGGCACGCGTATATTCAAGAAGAATTTCGTTAAGAAATCGTCCAAACGATTTCCGTTAGTCCCTTTTTTTTTCTCGTATTTTTGTTCCATCTTCCTCTTTTTCTATTTCTTCTTCTCGAATACTCCATGTGGGTTGTTAAATTTGTACACTTGGCTAGCTATGAAGGGACGGACGAACTGGGATCGCTCGTTTTCGTTAACGCAGAATATACTCGATCTCTTTTTCTTTTTCTTTTTCTTTTTTTCTCTCACGCTTACACCAATTAGTTTAAGGTCGTTTCATCGAACATGTGCAACACTGAAGAAATGATTTTTCTAAACTGTTGAACGTGGTTTTATTTATTTCTCTATCCTGTGTTCTTCTAGAAAATTACTTACGCGTACTTAGCAATTATTTTATATTCTTATTGTGGTATACCAGATATATACGTTTAGTTATACATATGTAAATGTGAAGATTGATCATCCTATCGTGTAATTTGAATAAATGAAATTACAAATAACGTGCACACGTTTTACTAAACAACAATAACAATAATTGACTCGTAAAAATGCTCTCTCTATTACATTCATTCTACTTATTTAATATGCTATAATCGATATCGTGACGAATCATATGATCGTATATGTTTTTATTTTTTATTATTTTTTCCTAAGTTCACATTGTTTTGTTTATTGTTTTATTTATATTTTTCGTGTATTCACACGAAACAATTTACAAATGCATCTTTGTCGTGCACATATGCACGCATCATTAATAACAATAATACAATTTGAATAAAAAGAAAAAATGGTGTTGTGTGGTCATTTTACAAAAAGGTGGATAATATCTTGACGAAAAATTATAAATAAATTTCATTTTTTAATTTAACATAACAAACATTATTATTATTATTATTATTATTTCATTTGGTTTCGTAGGTGTTTTCATTAGAACAAAAGATTAATTATTCAATGGCGACAACAGTGTTATTAATAATGGCAATGATGAAGAAACGAGGAACGATGACGGTGACGATATGACGTCAAACGATAATTATACTTCACAATTGTTGTATAATAAAATACGTTTTTGATCATAACATATTATAAAGATATAAAGCAAGTAAAAGAATCATGACACCCATAAGGGTATAAAATGGCACACCAGGTCCCTTAACGTATTTTTCATTTTCCGATTTTTTATTGTAACCAGCTACCCAACCCTTCTTCAAGGGCTTCTTTTTTTTCTGCGATTCTATGATCTCGCCTACTAAAAATTCTTTCATTAAGTCAAGTGCCTCCTGGGAATGGCCGACGTCATTAAAATTTTCCGTAGCATCTTTTCCCGCGTTATCCATGAGAATCTCTTCGCCACCGGGATGTTCGTTCAAAAATTTGGTAACATTGTAAACCTTGTCGTTTAAAATGATCACCGTTTCTCCAGTACCTTTAGTCTTCTGTACTTCTTCTATTGTATATTGTCTCAATTCCACCATTTTGAATGTTTCTTATTAGAATTCTTCTTCTTCTTCTTCTTCTTCTTCTTATTTTTCTTCACTCACGTTTAATTTTCTTTCAGTCCAATCAAACTCTGTAAACATCATTTAAATAATTAATTTCTTTTTTTTACAAATTCATGATCTATGATCTTAAAAACATTAATCATTCGATATAATTGCTTTGCACTAATCAATCCTCTGACTTTTTTCCTTATTTTTTTTTTAGAACGTTTAGAATTCTAACCTAACTTTTTACAAGTGAACTGTATCAAGTCATTTCTTTTTTGGATATTAATTTTGACACGAACACACCTCCTAATAAGTTGAAACCTTATTGTCAAACTTAAAAATATTCTTTTTTTTTTTTTTTAGAAGAAGAAAATCCTTTAAAACACAAGAACATTTATGGTATTAACTGGCTTTGAAAATAATATCCATGAACTGAATAGGTTGTCAATTAATATTGTCAGGAATGAAATAGTAACTCTATTATCTTATCAGAATAATAATAGCTAGTTTACAAATGGACGATTATGTAAGACGGGAAGTCAATAAAAATCATAATCAAACTAATGATTAAATTCAATATAAATGTTGAATGATCTTTCAAAAAACAATATTGTGTATGTTATGCAAAAGTTATTAACTGGAAACTAAGAGAAAAAGATCCAATTGATTAGACATATATATATATATATTGAATTCAAGATGGCGGATAGAATAAGAATTAGCAACGTGACGATGTTAGATTATAATGGAAATATGCAAACACGTATACATATAATATATGCGAAACGTTGAATAGAATTTAACTAAACAAACACGACACTCGCTATAATTGTTATTATTCTCAAGTATAAATCATCACCTAGTATATATAATAAACATTAAATTATTTTCAAGAAAATATATGTTGATCAAATTTGTCCATCTTTCTTTTTCTTCTTCTTTTTTTTTTTTTTCATCATAAATTTAAAAATAATTGTTGTGAGTTGAACGAGATGATGGAAAATAAGTTAGTTAAAGTTCAAGGATTTATTGCAATGACGGTGTCGTTGCATTGTCATTTTCACGTGGAAAAATAAAATAGGAAAAGAATAGAAAGAGAGAAAGAGAAAGAGAAAGAGAGAGAGAGAAAAAGTAGCATGGTAATGGAGTATTGTCCTTGAGACGGTACAGGGTTTCTCTTGAAAACGATTCGCACAAAAGATAAATCTCTTTTCTTTCTTTATCGTGTCTTTATTTCTAAGAGAAGATACTTGCAAGAAAATCCATTGACTTCGAAGAAGGTCTAGGACCAATGTCAATTCAATTCTACTCTTCAAAAAAAAAAAAAAGAAAAAAAAACCATTATAACTTCTCATTAAAAAAAAAAAAAAAAAAAAAATCGAATCGAATCCGTCTTAATTATAAAGGAAATGAATTTCAATATTTAAATAAACGGAATAATAATTATTAATAATTAGAACGTAAATCATAATAATAATAATATCGTTGTTGCAATGACAAATGAATAAGATGAATTAAACATAATATTTCGAAAATGACTTTTCATTTTTAAAATCGATATGTGAGTGTGTGTGTAACATTGATTGAATATTTATTGCAAATGATAAATAATGCACTTTGCTCGAACGATGATGTGTTTGTATATTATATATATTTGACACTTACATTATTTCGCATAATCATTCTATTTGTCTATCATCTAAAAAAAACAAAAACAAAAATTGACTTATAATTTTACTTAATTTCTTCAATTTTCGTTAAACGTTACGAGAACGACACAACGAAAACGTTTTAAAAAAGAAGCACCCCCCACCCACCCCTCTCTACTAAATTTTATTTTATCTTTTCAAGTGGTTAAAAATAAAAAAGTACATACTTATTATGCCAACGATACTTGGTGATAATCTTTTATCTTAAAAAAAAAAAAAAAGAAAAAATAAAATAAAAAAGAAAAAAAAAGATTTTATTTATGAAGGACAAAAAAATTAAGCGAAATAATAATAAATAAATAACTTCATCTTCAGGAGATTAAAAAAGAGTTAATATTTAAAGATAAATCATCATTATAGGAAAAAAAAAAAAAAATGAACAATCAAATATAGAAATACAAAGTAGAGATAAATATCTGTAGTTAAATAGCATTACAATGCACAATTGTATTTCAACAAACAAAAATATACGTATCATCGTTTGAAAGAAAAAAAATAACTATAAATAAGTAAAAAGTACTTCAGTGGTGGAATTTCCCCTCATTAAAGATTAGATATCAAATGTTGAGACGTGTGTTATAATCTTCAGTTTTTTGCAAAAAAAAAAAAAATAATATATAATCTTGAACAACGTCGTATTGTTAGAAATTCGAACAGAAAAGTATGTGTGTGTGTATGTGTAAAAATTGTGCCACTATTATGGTTACTAACTTTTGTTCATCTGTCTCTAATTGATGAAAGTTAAATTCCAATTTTTTTTACTAAAATCGTCTTAGTAATATTTTAATAAAGTTTTTTTTCTTTTTTTTTTTTTGTAAAAAACGCCAAAATATTATCTTTCAAAAATATAACAAAAAAAAATAAATTATATTCTGTCGCAATAAACTTTTGCCTTTTCTCTCTCTCTCTCTCTCTCTCTCTCTCTCTTTCATAGTCGTGTAAAAAAGATGATATCAATCGTATGTTTGTAAGGACTCCTCGTACTCCTCCTTCTATATAACGAGAGTGATATAAAATCAGTGGTTCTCAATGAAGAGATAAAAAGAAACTAAAATCTAATTCTCAACTTGTACGTGAAGATAGAAAATTACGTAATCGAAATTTTTAATATCACACTGGATAAGGAATTTAGAAGAATAGATTAATATTTTATTATTATTATTATTATTATTATTAACATTAGATTTACGGATGTGTTGTTTTGTTCATTATTTTTCAATGATTTAATAACATTATTTGAATGAAGGATTGAGTAAAGAAATGGGAACTAATATTTACGTATATTTCGTATTACGTAACTAAAAACCGATAATAAGATTTTTCAAAAATAGTATTTACATTTTATAAATAATATAATAATCAAATATGTTTCAATGAGAGTCAAATTGGCTGAAATACGTAAATCTAATGTTAATTTGCAACGATTGTATACGTTAACAATGATTAATCCTAATTATTATTTCAAAATGATTCTAATAATAATCCTCCTATCGCGATATGTATGTATGCATGTAAAGTGTATTCTTATCTTCTTTTTTATTGACTTAAATAAAGGGGGAATTTCGTCATATCAAAAAGCAACATTTAAATTCTAAATATTAAGTAATCATTTATATCATTCAAAATTGCTTAATAATATTTCAATTGATTTTAAATGAAATTCTTTTTATCATTGCAAACTAACACACCTACCTATCTAAGTTTTCATCGTTTAAGAATGAATGTAATAATTGTTTCTAAAGTTAATAATATTTAAATGGATTTTAAATGAAATTTCAATTAACATTGCAAACTAACACACCTACCTACCTACCTACCTACCTACCTAGGTTTTCATCGTTGAAAAATGAATGTAATAATTGTTTCTAAAAAAATTCAATTTAATTTATAATAACATAAACAACAAAAACAAAAGCCTATATACCTGTACTTTTGACAAGTACTCTCTTTCTCTCTCTCTCTCTCTCTCCCTATCTCTCTGTTTCTCTTCAATGAATAAAGTCGTATAATACTCGTTCTATTTCGGGTAGCTTCCGTAATCACTCTTGAAGGCACAGGCGTCTTCTTATTTGACGTTTGCTTCTGTTGTGTTGTTTCTACACCTAGTAGTAGTAGTAGTAGTAGTAGTAGTAGTAGTAGTAGTAATAAAAAAAGTGCTTTGAAAATCCAAACTTCAAAATCAATTGACAATTCTACATATACATATACATATATATGTATATACCCAAGATTTGACAATTACAATTGTTTATATTTGATTGTAGATGAGAAAAATAAAGAAAATGAATATTCGTCGTATGGTGGTATTATTAACACGTAATATTAAAAGAAACAAATCTAAGCGAGTAAATTTGACAGAAACAAAAACAAAATGTTTAATTAATAAAAAGAAAAAACAACAAAAAAAATGAATATACAAATATTTAAAAGAAAAGAGAGGAAATCGCCGGTTTATACGTTCCACCTCTCACAACGGTACTCGCTGAAACACTGTCGATAGAAAACAGGAGGACGCTGTCCAATGAGGTTCATCTTTCCCCTCCACTTTTCCCCTCTCTCTATCTCTCTCTTTATGTATGTATACACGTGTGCATGCGTGCGGATGTGTGTGTACGTGTGTGTACATGCGTGTATAATCTTTTCTTCTGAGTGGTTCCTCTTAATCGGTGACGTCCAACCAATCTCATCTCATCTCTCTCTCTCTCTCACTCATTTGAAGCGTATAATATTAGTAATAATAATAAAATTTTGGAAATTATTACCGCATATATCTTTTTATTTTTTTTTTTATTTTATTACTTTTAAATTGACTTTTCAAAATTTATCAATTATTTTTTTTTTTTTGAGAGAGAATTAGAGAGAGAGAGAGGGATAATGGAAGGAAGGAAGGAAGAAGGGGAGAGATTTGCAATTGGGATTTTTGTAAATTCTTATCATTCAGGAAAGATAAAAAGGTCAGAAAGTTTTGTAATACATCGAAATATATTACAACTTTTTTTTTTTTTGTATTCTAACATTCTTATCATATAATTTTTTGAAATCTGCGTTAGATAGATAGGATGTCTTGTTTTCAATAATATAAAATTATAAACAATTTATTTCACATTAATATTACTTTTTTTTGTTGTTGAAGTACTGTTAATTAATTAAAAGCTTTCGAGTTATTATTATTATTATTATCGGAAATGGTAATAAGCTAAAGTTAAATACGTAAATGGGTCACGTTTTTTTGTGTGTGCGTATCAATAAACGCCGAGTGTTGTATCTCGTACAAGAAAGATAGATAAGTGTAAGCTTTTCAAGATAATAATGTAACTTGGATATTTATCTCTTCTCTAAGACTCTTGAAAAAACATAAATGAAAATAAAAAAAAAAAAATTGTAAAGATACACAATGACAATTCAATTTTAACGTTCCAACGTTCACTCAATCTTTCGATGATTATTTATAAAAAAATAAAAATAAAAATTAGTTAGTATCTATTTGTCTTTTGTAAATAGATAAAGAAAAATATCGGGGGAGGGGGTAACAACGCGTAGTTTGAATTTCGTATGCATTCTATAATTGATTTTAACCCTTAAAGTACACTGTGGGTGTTTGAAACCCCAACGTGTTTGAACGCATCTCCTGAAGCACCTATTTAATATTTAGACCTCGAAATTTTTTTTAAAAGTAGTTTGATACATCTTTATTAAAATAGAATAGATTTTATACCCATCTGAATGAACACTAGATGGCACTAGACAAATAACCCCATTTGTTCGAATTCAGTATCGTTTTCGAGAGATCACAAATGTGTTCGGGTGTCAAACACCCCATATGCACTTTAAGGGTTAATTTATGCATACTAAGAGTTTATTATCATTGGTTGGTATATGTAGAAGAAGAAATATTTGCTAATGAATAAATTTCTCATTAAAGGAAAAAGTAATAAAACAAAATGGCATAGATAAGAACACCAGCTGCCACTACGAATGGTAATGTTCGATCACTGTCTTTTTTCGGTTCGGTGTATTCCCAGTCATCGTCATCGATGGTTGCTGAAGTTGTAGGGTTGGTGGTAGTAGCTTCTTCCGTCCTTGCTACAAATTTCATTCCATCGAAAAAGAAGAAGAAACAAGCAAATTATTTCATCATCAAAATGTAAAACTAAAAAGATTATAAGAACAATGATTGGAAGGTAGAGAGAAAGATTGATCTGCCCTTTTTCTTACCTTCACTCTGATGATCTGCATTCAAATCTTTCGTTAATTCTTCATCCTTTTTTATCACACCTATTTTAAATGTTTCCTTAAGTAATATGGCTTCCTCGGAATGACCAATTTCATCGAAACACTTCGTACAATCTGTTCCAGCCGAATTAATCAAAACTTCCTCACCTCCAGGATGTTTCTTATAAAAATCAGTTAAATCGTAAACACCATCGTGCATCACCAACCATAAATCCGTTTCCTTATTGTGTTGTGCCACCTCGTTAATCGTGTAAACCTTATTCGCCATGTTTGTATTTTTTTTTTTTTTTTGAAGACAACTATAAAATGAAATGTGTAATCCTTGGTTAAATTTGTTTCTTTTTGAAGTGAAAACTTCTTCTTTAGAATCAGAGTCATTTGAAAATCGTGAAACGGAAGAAACCGCGAAACTGATGAAACAAAATTAATTAATTAATTAATCAAATTCAGTGTCACAATATGTTTGTCCAATAATAATAATTCCAAAACTACTCAACTTATTTTAATGAAATTTATTTTTATTTCACTTAGTGATTTTTTTCCAACTTAGCACATAGCATAATTTTTATCTATTTTTTTATGTATTTTTTTATTACTAATTTAAAGAGATTTTTTTATTTAGAGTTAGGTTATCTAGATTCTGTAAGGTTCTTTCAATAGATGGCGCTGTATTTTGAAGCTTGGTTTTCTTTGAAGGTTTCACTTCTACTCTGTGTGATCTGCACACATCTNTTTTTTTTTTGAAATATTTTTCTTCTTATTTTCGACCCCGACCTCTCTCTCTCTCTCTCTCTCTCTCTCTGTTCTTCTTTATTTATTTCATTCTAATATACACGGTGACGCTTTGAAATATATATATTTTCTATATTAACTATTCATGATCTGAAGATTTTGTTCGAAAATGTTCAATTCCTAAAGAAGATAGAAAAAAAAAAATAGAAAATAGAATGAGAATTCCCCATAGCTACTACTCGTGGCAATGATCTATTTCTAGTTCACTTTATCTGTCTTTGATCTTTGAACGATCTTGAGACGAACTTTGAAAGGGAAAGTAGGCAACCGACGACGACGACGACGACGACGACAACGACGACAAACTACTACTACTACTCCACAAAGCCTATCGGTAACAAATAGAAAAAGACAAATATAAATAAAGGAAGAATGGGAATACTAGGGGGAAAGAAAAATAAAAAAAAAAAAGAGAGAGAGAGAGATGAAGAAGAGAAGAAATATAAGCGGAAAACGTGACCTCGCACCTTGACATTCGTATCTCTGTGTGTATTTGTATGCATACACACACGTACATATGTACCAAGTGTTCGAAACGTAACCGCATATCTCAACAATTTTTTTTTTCCAGATATCTTTCGAAAAGAAACCAAATTCTTTTTTTTTTATTATTATTATTATTATTATATCTGATTGAAAAATTTCGAACCACTTTTTGTTTTTTTATTACGTAGAAACTATGTGTTATTTTTATTTTATTGTTATTATTATTATTATTATTATTATTATTATTATTATTATTATTATTAATAATCAACAAAGATGACGAATAGAAATTATTTTACACATCGTGTGTGATAAGAATGAATAAATTGAGTTTTAACACCTGGATATATTTTTTTCTTCGATGACAAACAACAACAAAATTATTAATAATAAAGATAAATGAACTAGTAATTAATCTCACCTGTGATTGATATTCCTCCACACACCAAAAAAAACAACAACAAATAAGCAAGGTGTGCAATTTCTCACGAGAAATAATTTTAAACTAAACAATCTTTTAAATTTGTACTTTTGAGCAGGTAAAAATTTAGCCGTGTTTCACTTATGGTAACTTTGATACGACTGTCGTCAAATATTTCTTATTGATTTTGACTTTATTCTACCGATTGAATAATACACGCCCGTGAACTGCAAACTCATCAACATTTATAATAATTTGCGTAAAATGTTCAAAGGTCATTGAAGCTTCTACGATTATTTCAAGTATTCAAATTTTCTACTATATTATACTTACGTATAACTGTATATATATATATCAAAAAGGAATATATTTTTTTTTACAATAAATAATATAACTATATATATTGTTTATATAATATTATTTCAATTTATTTATATTTCTTAGTTTTAAGTATTAGTCATTTTAATATCAGCCTATATACAGGTAACTATGTTTACCTCTTGTAGGATTTACTGTGTATTAACCTTATTATTACTAAGTAAATTATTTTTTTTCTAATATAATAAATAAATAAATAAATAGAGTGAAAATTGGCATTAGGAATTTTGGAACAGTGACCGTATAATAGAATTGCAACGCATTGTTAATCTCTTGTTGTTGAGGAAATAGAGCTAGTTGAATTGTCGGATCAAAAGCATTAATAAAAGAGAGAGAGAGAGGGAGAGGATGATATGTGTAGAAGGGAAAACTAGGAGAAAGACGATAGGAAAGGGCGTTGATGATGGGCCCCTTTGATCTTTGTAATTAAACGGTACGATTTCTATTGGATGTCGTAGTCGTCGTAGTCTTTGTTTGTAGTCGTCGTCGTCGTCGTCGTCGTCGTCGTGTGTTTTAACAGTGACGCTTGAGTATTTGGAACGGATTGAATTGCTTTTCTCCATCATTTGGAACCAACATTTACGTGTCAGGGTTGAATCGAATCTCTTCTTCAACTAACGCGTATAAACTCTCTCACTTTTTCTTCATCATTTGGACTCTAGATCGACGATTTGTAATAAAAGAAAGTTTAGTGATAGGGATTTGTTTTATGTCCGCCACTTTATAATCAAATCATCATCAAAACGGATGTTGTTTTTTTTAATATCAATTTATAGACGAAGAGCTGGCTACAGAAAAATTGACCTATTTGGTACACGATTCATTTCTATTGAAAAAGATACCTTTGGTATAGCTGAACATAAATCTGCAAGTCTGCCATCGCAAAACTGGAGCCTAAAGCGGGGGGGGGGGAGGTACAATGGAAAACGTGAAATTTAGGTATGAAAAAGATCATAAGGCACACGGATTCTAATTATGGAAAAAGTTTGTATTCAATATTAATGTAATAACAACATTAATATTCCGTGTACCTTATGATCTTTTTCACACCTAAATTTCACGTTTTCAATCGTACCCCCCCGCTTTAAGCTACGCTTTTGCGATGGCAGACAGGCAGATTTATGTTCAGCTATACCAAAGCTATAAATTGGGTTTGTTCATGTGTTGCAGAAAACTGGAGCCAGAATAAAGATTTATTCCAATTGCTGTCCACGCAGCACAGATCGTCTCATCANGCTTTAGGCCCCAGTTTTGCGATGGCAGACGATCAATTTTGATGTAGCCAGCTCTTAGGCTATAAATTGGGTTTGTTCATGTGTTGCAGAAAACTGGAGCCAGAATAAAGATTTATTCCAATTGCTGTCCACGCAGCACAGATCGTCTCATCAGCATTTGCGGAAAACCAAATACATGCATAGAGTGCATTCGCCAACTTATATCAACAATTAAAACTGTATGTAGAAAAAAAGAGAAAAAAAAAAAAGAAACTCACGTGTTTATAAAGACCTACATTTCATTTGTTTTTCTTTTTCTTTTTCTTTACAGTCCCCATTGAAAGGAGTGAACAATCCTTACGATCCTCACAACTTCGACGATTATTATGCAGATGAGTACGGAGGTTATGGATGTGGAGATGGTACGCCAAAATCAGGCCCTTATAGCGTTCAAGCTGCATTTATATTTTGCAAAGAGAGAGGAGATGTTCCATCAAGCACTACAGTGTTTGGTCCACCTAGACCAAATCGCAATCGAATGAATCACAACTATCCGCATTCATCAAGGGGCGGTCCTCGTGGAAGTGGCGGTGGAAGTGGTGGCGGAGGTGGTGGCGGTATGTCAAGGGGTGGCCCGATGGATCGTGGATATGGTGGTGGTAATTCAAGATCTGATGGAGGAGGTGGTAGTGGTTCTGGTAACAGCAGTGGTTATGAAGGGGGAAGGAACGCTGGCTCTGTACCTGGCTACGCAGGTGGTAGCAGGGCTGGTGGTGGTGGCCCACCACCTTATAATAACTCTGGTAATTACAATCCTAAAGAACTTTCACAATGAAATAATATTAAGGGAATTGGAAAAATCAAATGTTTCCTTTTGATTCCTCTGTTGTAGGAGACGGTTGGGGTATGCAAGGTGGTGGCGGAGGTAGCGGTGGCGGTGGTGCTGGTGGAAACGGTTTAATTAGTCAAGCATTATTGAACAGTGATATCGGTGGAAACAATCCGGGTAACATGAGCTCTGTTAATCTTGGAAATAAGACTAGTACTCAAGTCACAATCCCTAAGGACGTAAGTCAATACACCACACTCTGAAAATATGCAAAAGCTGTGTGTTTAGCACATGTAAATGCAATTGTTATTATCATCATATGTTTATGATTTTAGCTCGCAGGCGCAATTATTGGTAAAGGAGGTGGAAGAATTAGAAAAATTCGAGCGGACAGTGGCGCTGCTATTACCATCGACGAGGCATTACGTGGTAGTAATGACCGTATTATTACGATAATCGGCTTACCCAGTCAAATACAGATGGCCCAATATCTTCTGCAACAAAGGTAATTATTTGGTTTCTGAAATTATTCGTTTATTCGGATAATATTTAAACGATCTTGTGTTTCCTTCTCTCTCTCTCTCTCTCTCTCTCCTACGATGATTTCTCAAATCCCCTCCTATCATTCGCATTACTTCATTAAGTGAAAATAAATGTTTTTTATAGCTTTTATTTAATCATCTGATATTTGCAACCTTATAAGAAGAATAGGAGTTGATTTATATGCATCTTCATTTCTACACTATGTAATATTATATCCTATGATTACACATCCTCTATAGTCATATCATGCGTGTAATTGTAATATTAACAAAAACGAATGTCTGATATAATTGTTATGTAATGTCATAGTTGTAATTTAACGCTATAACTCATCGACACTTATGTTTCTAACACACATCATCATCATCATCATTATCATCGGCCGTACATTTGAATAACAACTTATACGACTTTATACCAGCCTAACATTTTCTGCTTGATTGATACACGTGCATCAAGAAAACTAACAACCGCTGCGATATTCTGACTAACTCATACAAATGCGTGTGCGAGAAAGGATAAAAAGAAAGAAAGAAAGAAAGATGGAGATGCGCCAAAATGAATTATCTCTCCTATTATTGCGGCAACGCTATAAATCTTCTTCTCTCAACGTTAATAATCGACAGGATTAGAAAGAAAGAAAGAAAGAAAGAAAGAAAGAAAGAAAGAAAGAAAGAGCTCCGTTGTATGGAAGACTAGTGATTTTGTTGTTCTACTTTGGATGTAACAAGGAATCACTAATCATCCTACAAAGGGACTCGCATATCGTCGGCTACCTGGTGAAAACCTGTGCTTTTTTTGGATACTAACTGAACGCACATCTTCTCCCTTCTTCCATGCCAACATTCTTCTTGCGTTTTTCTGTATATTGCTTCGTCGACATGAACAACCTGCGAATTTTTGTTAATGCTTTTGTAAATAACATTGATTAATAATACAATATTATTATTAAATCATTTTACAAAATTCTTTGAACGAGAGAGAATATATGAAATAATAACTACAACTTGCAAATTAATCATTGTTGTATATCTTTATATATATATACATATATATAATTCTTCTGTGCGTGTGTATGTCACTGAACTCCTCCTAAAACGGATGGACCGATTTTAATGAAATTTTGTGTGTGTCTTAAGGTGGATTCGTTAATGGTTTAACGTTACAATTCGATCCAATTTAAATTGTTTATTTAATTAATTGTTCATTTATAAATTGTTATGCGAAAAGTTTTATAGATTGAAGTTAGTCGATATTCGAGTTATAGAAAATATTCGAGTCGATATTCGAGATGACGTTAGATATTGTAATAATTTTTTAATACAAATTTTCATCAAAACGGTCTAGATTGTTACAGCTTATTCGAAAAAGTTTGAAATTTTGGAATTAAAGACGTGCGTATCGGACTAATTGTGAGCCACAGCAACGCGTGCCGGGGCACCCCTAGTATTTTTATATATATATATCTATATGTAACAATTTAACTCCGGCGATTGTTATGCTGTAATTAACAATACCTGTAAATGGAACATACACATGGATGAATAGTGAAACGTTAATAACTTTACAATTTGAACAAAATCATTTTGAATAATACAATATTGTGTTAATACTAGTATTCACATCCTTTATATTAAATGTATTAACTTTGTACATCTAAATCATCATTTCCTAAAATTAAACAACCCTTGTTTACTGGATACTTATTGTGTTAATTTTTTTTGTCTAAGTTTACTTTAAATAATACTACATTATTGAACTGCAATTAATATTATTTCGTCATTTTTGTTCTAGCGTACATGAGAATGCAGATATCTTCTAAAGAAGATAAGAAGAAAAGAAAAAAAAAAACAAAGAAAGATAGGAAAAATAAGGTGGAATTGAAGAAGCAGTAAAACACCGTAATTTAACCCTTTCGCTACGAGCGTATTTTCCACGGTGCTACTTTTCTACTGTACGGGCTGCTGCTGCTGCTAATACGTGCACCATCGAAATTGCAATTGATTTATTTTTAAGTAACTTTGTTGTTGATATTTAACGACGTTAAGTTTAATGGAAAGAAACAAACCACTGAAGTTACTCATCCATAATGTGATATTTGATGTGATGTAAATGCATCATATGTTCGTCGTATGTAAAATAGGCAATATTTTATGAAGAGCCACTATAATGGCCCGTCGTCGTACCTCAGTAGCACCATATTGGAGAAAGCCACCATAGTCGCCCGTCATAGCGAAAGGGTTAAACTAAGTGCACGGGGGTGATAGGGATAACAAGCGACTAGGGAGGGGATGATAGGGGAGCCAAAGATGCGTTTTTAACATTTTTTCTAGAAACACTTTTTTTTTTTTCTTCGGGATAAATAAAAAACAATAAACGGCAAATGTGAAAATCGATAATGTGAAAGTAAAAAAAAAAGACAATTAACTAACGATGGAACACACATTGATGAAACATTTATAAACTGTTTTGAAAAACGAGAGAGAAAGGGAAAGAATAAAGAAAGAAAGAAAGAAAAAAAGAAGAAGGATAAACAAGCGTAAAGTAAACCAAACATGGATAAATTTGATGGTTAGTCAATATACTTAAGCCGTAAAAGAATTATTATTGTTTTTTTTTTTTTTTTATTATTAATAAGCAAAGGAACAACGCGAATAAAAAAAAACATAAAGAAAAAAAATCACTATTAATTAGTTTAAAAAAAAAAAAACAAAAAAATATTAAATATAATATTACAATAGACATTATTATAATAATAATGATTGAGCGTAATTGATAAAAGAAAAAGAAAAAAAAGAGAAAAGAAAAAAACAAAAAAAACACAATTTACGTTATCATCGGCCTATTTTTTGAAAAAAAAAAAAAAATCTACTTTATAATGGGTATTATATTTTGCAAATTAACAAAATTATAAACAAAAGTAGTAGAAGAAGAAGGACAAGAAGAATGAGTGAATTTTTTCTCATATTGAAAAGAGCTTCAGAACGATGAATGTGACATGGGATTTGGAATGAATTAGATAAGATACACACACATACACAAATATATATACATAAATTATACATATTTATGTATATGTATATACAGACGACACAGACACGTACAATATACATTTCCTAATAATGTTAGCGTCCTTCGAGATAAATATTTTCTAATATTATTACATGCATTAAAAAAAAAGAAAAAAAGAAAAAAAGAAAAAAAAAGAAAAAATGGCCAAAGAGCGTAAAAGTAAAATTTAAGGAATCCTTAAACTTTCTAGGGGTGCATTTTGCCGATTGTTTTACATACTAAACACACACACACAACACACAAATATATATATATATATATATATATATATAAAACTCACACACACGTCCTACAAATTGACATAACAAGAATTACAGTTTATTTTCTATTTTTTATTATTATTATCATATAGAATTTTCATTTTTATTATTATTATTATATAGAATTTTTTATTATTATTATTATTATTATTATTATATAGAATTTTCATTTTTATTATTATTATTAATATTATTATTCGGGCACAATGGTCCAGAGACTGAAGGCCCGGGTTAACAAACCTCAAGAAAAAAAATTAATATTATTATTAATATTATTAATTGCTAGGCAGTGTCAACAGAATAAGGTTGCTCGGTCATAGTGGCGTTCAGGGCAACGAAAGGGCGCACGAGCTTGCCAGACTTGGAAAAAAAAGAAATATTAATTTTATTATTATTATTATTATTAGAATTATTATTAGAATTATTATCAGAATTATTATTAGAATTCAATCTGACTGGCGAGTCCAACACTCCAGGGACAGGGACACCCCTGGGTGGATGCGCAAGTACATTCTCAAACTACACACACACATACATCATACACACACACACAAATTATTATTATTATTAAATTATATTATGTAATTGATTTTAATAGATCTTTAAGATCATTATTATAGAAAGATGGAATCGTTTCTGTCATCAATATTCTTTCCTTTTCCTTAATTTCTTTTCTTTATGTATATACATGTATATATATATATATATATATATGGTTTTTTTGTATTGATATTATTATTATTATGTTGAATTGAACGTGTTTGTGTTGAATGCGCCCCGCGTACCTCCGATTATTTTCTTGTTTTCTTTCCTCCGGGCAAAAAGTGGCAATTTTTTTCCTGCCGTGAACAATTAGGTTGCCGCTTTAAGCCTACGTCGAGTAAAGAAAAAGAAAGTATTTTTACCATGGACAGTAAATAAGAAAGCCTCAGAAAACACATGTAATTGTCCGTGTTGTCCGAAGCGAAGCCGGGGTCAACAAACATGTACTTTGTTTTGAGACATTTCTTAATTAACCACCCGTTGGTTGAGTAATATACTTTTTTATCATGCCTGTCATCACATTTTTATTTTTTATTTTCTTTTCTTATTATTGAGCCTATTGCAATTACCGAAAATGTGTTTAAAAAAAGAAAAGTAAAAAAAAAAATATATATATATATATATATATAAATATACATAAAGAAAGATATAAAAGAAAAATGTCATTATTATTATTATTATATCTTAATTATTAGATCGTAATTATTATTATTATTATTACTACTATTTACTCTCTTATAGAATTGTTCCATTGCGAAAATATTTTTGGAAAAATGTTTTCTTATGCGTACACCAAATCTTATTCTTCTCTCTGTCTCTCTTGTTTTCTCTCCCTGCTCCCTCGTCACCCCCTTTTGTTCATAAATATGCAAAGCAATAAGATTTTAAGTAAATCCGTTTTTGAAACTACTTATATATTGTATAAAAAAGAAAGAAATATTTCAAAGTGTGAAAAATATGCGATACAAAAATTGACTCATTGGAAAAACAAAAAACGAACAAACAAACAAACAAACATAATCTTTTAACAAAAATATCGTTCACATCGTTTTAGAATGAACACCACCACCACCACCACCACCACCTATTCCTCTTGTCCCACAATTAATTGTGAAAACAGTCCCAACAAGGTTGAAGAAAAAGAAGAAGAAGAAGATTATACAAAAAATCAAAACTATTTCCTTATTACGAAAGCCGCCATTTTGTATGTGTGTTAAGCGTATGCATTTTTGTTTTTGTTTTTTTATTTCGATGACTTTTTTTTTCTTGTTTCCCTTTAAAAGGGGTAAAAAGAACAACAATTTTTATCGTAATAATCATGTTTTACAGTGATAAAAATTACACCTACATACATACATACATACATACACACACATATATATATATACAAATAAATAAATAAATATATATATATATAAAAATAAAAATAAGAAAAAATAAAAATAATATGTGAACAGTAAAAAAAAAAACAAAAAAAACAAAAAAAACAGAAGAAGCGAACGTGCGCTGAGCCGCGTATGCATGTGTGTGGTGTATCTGTCCGAATGTGTTTGTGGATGCATTTTATGTGTGTATGTGTGTACGTATAATTAAAAAGAAAGTAAGCATCAAAAGTATATAAGAAGAAGGGTATGATTAATAAATTGTTGAGGAAAGTAAAAGCTTGAAAGCTTGAGGAAAGAAAGTGAATGAATTTGTGAATGAAAGAAGAAACATTTAGAGAAAAAGAGAGAGAGAGAAAGAGAGAGAACCATTCGTTCGCTCATTTAACACAATGTGTGTACTATATAAGATAACAATTTACAATTATTTGTAATGAATACTTTTTATTTGTCAAATAAACGTTAGTACAAACAAAATGGGGGAAAAATTGGATTTCTTTTTATTTCATCATTTTATTTAATATTAATATAACACAAAATTATAAACTAATTATTAACCAGTTAAGTGTGGGGGCGATCTGTCGCGCATAGCGCACTCTGGTGTGTGTCGCGTTAATCAAGCGATGACGGATATAGTCGTCAAACACAGAGTAAATGACGCTGTTAAAATATTGGATAGTCAAAAAATGAAATATAATTATGAAATATAATAATAAATGAAAACATTTGAAACATATTAAAATTTACGAATATAATTTAATTTTCGTTATCAAAATTACAATTTAAATCAACAAATTGTAACAAACATTTTTACGCATGACGAATATAGTCGTCAAACACGTTTAACTGGTTAATAGTACAAACTTTGTGTGTCGATACTGTACTTTTTTGAAATCTATTATGAAAAGCTTTTATAGAAAAATTCCACGTATCTATATTTTAAAATCATTTTCTTTCTTTCTTTCTTTTTTTTTTTTAGAACGTTGGCAATACTTTTCCTTAGTGAATTCGATGATAATTTGTCTGAAAAATTCTTGTAAAAATCAAAAAACGATCCTTTTTCAAATTTAAAAAAAAAATCATTTAAATTGTTGTATAAAATATTTAACGCATCATCATAGCATTTGTTAAATATATAAATAAATAAATAAATAAATATATTTCTTGTAAACTACTTTAACATAATTTAGTAAGTATCTATGATTTCTAGAACCTTTGTAGATGGGCCCTTGAAACGTACTATTTTTGTCTATAAATAGAACCCACGACTGAATATAGAATATAGTTCAACGTTCTCTTTCTTTGTAGCTTCTTCATTCATTCATTCATTCATTCGTACTTTTATTAACTCTCTATCGATAGAATAATCAATCGTTGCTTTTAATCTTCATTTTGTTAATATTTCTATTGAAAATATGACATCTGATAAAAATCTAACGGTAAGATTAATCGAAGAAGTAGGAAAAAGGAGTCTTTTATGGGATCCCAAACATAACGATTATAAAGATAGAAGTAAAAGAAAGGAAACATGGATAGACATATGCTCCCAACTTGTAGACAACTATAGAGAGTTACCTGAAGAAATGCAAAATAAAATTCGTAAGTTAGATTTATTTAAAAAAAAATTATGTCAAATAAAAATGAATATTCACGAATTCATTATTTTCATAGAATCTTTTTTAAGCGTCATATTTAAAATAATATAATAAGCATTTAATAACATCAACGATAAAATTCTTCTTATTCTTTGTATGACTTTGTGTCAAACATCAAGTCAATGTATGTATGTAATGTTTATATTTTGATAACCGATAGATAATTCAAAATTTTATTAATAAAAACTATTGTGTGAAGTAAATTTTCATTTAGTTTTAAATGTTTTTTTTTTTTTTTTTATTCAAGATAATTATTTCTCTTCTTGAAAATCTAAATTTGTCTTCGTTTTTGTTTTTGTTTTGTTTTCTTCGCGATATACAGGCCACGCAACAAAATCAAAATGGATGGCGATTCAGGAAATGTATTTAATTGAAAGTTCTCGCTTCGAGATGAATTTTAATAATGAAAAAACTGGAACTTCACCATTAGAAAAACATTTGAAATTTTTGAAAGATATTCCACCTATTATGAATAGTTGGAATCATTGTAATTTGGAAAGTGAGGAAATTATTCAGAAGGGGCATGTCGAAGACTATTATGTAAGTTAATTTTACATTTATCCTATATTATTTGACTTTTTATTTTGATCATTGTGTGCAATTTTTGTTTTTTTTTTGTTTGTTTGTTTGTTTTAGAATGAAGCAGTATTATCCAAATCAAAGAACACTGATGCAGACATTTTAATGAAATATTTGTCAACTAAAGTGTTGGAAATGGACGATGATTGGGTCTTTTTAAATAAAATATTAACATTTCTTAAAACGTTAGATAATGTAGATAAATGTGTATTTCGTAAATTAGTATATAAGTGTATGCAAACAGTTGAAAAATCGACTGGAAAAGAAAAAGAAAAATGCGACGAAGGTTCTGAACCAATTTCAAATCCGATGAAAAATGAAAAATCCGATGAGCCTGTTGAAAAAGTTAATTAACATTTTTCTATAAAAAAAAAAAAAAAAGATCTTTTACATTTTTAATAAACATTTTTAAATTTTTCAAAAATTTCAATTACGAGCATATATATATATATAATTTGTCGTCTTAATAAATTATTTTTAATACAAGAAGATAATAGTAGATAACTGTTTTATCAATCGATCAATGTAACAACAGAACTCTATTGTATCAATCAAGCTAAATGATATATATTTAAAACTAACATTCAATTATTATTGTCAAAATTATAATTAAAAATAATGGTATTGGAAAGTAATGAGAAAGATTTCAATAAATTCTTATTATCATTTATAAACAATGAAGAAAAAGATCATGTTTCATCTACCAATTCATCTAATGAAAAGAAAACTTCTTCTAAGAAAATAACGATCGAGGTTGACGAAGATGATCCGTGTTTGCAAGATAAAAGAAAAACTCAAAAGAAAAAATTTTATTCTACTCCCGGATTAGATCCAAGGTTACTACTATATATTACATATAATAAATAAAATATAAACTACCGATTGTGAATCTTTTTTTTTTACAAAAAAAAAAAAAAAAAATTCTTATACAATATAAAACGAGAAGATTTCAACAACAAAATCAAACATTACGATGTTACGTCATGTATACGGATTTTTATCGATGCGAACATATTCTTGGAGAAGGACATGACGCATGTACATGGTTTAAACAAGTCTTTCGTTCAATTTGTCCAAACGATTGGATTCGTAATTGGGATGAGCTTCGTATTAATGGAAAATTACCTTGGCACAAATATTATAGTCAGGGAGAATTTCCCGGTGACAAATATGGCGTTTAATTATTATTATTATTATCCGTATCTCTCTTCTAATCTTTTGATTTTATACTTTTGTGGTTATTTATTTTCAAATTATTGTACTAAAGAAAAAGAAAAATAATATCATCTCTCGTGTAATATTTGATAATTAATAAAATATATTTATATAATAGAAAGGAATAAAATATTCAATTTTTATTACACAGGTACAAGACTTTTTTTAATTAATTAATTAATTATTATGAGGTAACGTATATCGAAGTGTGAAAAGATACTCCACACAATCTTCTCAACTTGGTCAATAGGCCGTCATCTTCTTCTTCTTCTTCTTCTTTAATTTCGAATCTTCATATTGAACGTCTTCTTCATTCTCTTTTCCTTTTCTTTTTAATCATTTCCTTATTTGCATACGTTAAACACACTGTGATCGTCATGTAGCTTATGCATATATTTTATATACATGTATACATGACATATGAATAATATGTATATATATATATACATATATTCATATAATATAGATGCATAAATGTATATATATTTATATATGTTGTTCCTACTATATATACTATACATATATACATATACTCGCGCGCGCGAGACACTGTTATTTTTTTTTTTTTTACATACATAAAAAATAGATACTTGGAAGAATTTCCTTTTCATTTGTTTTTTTTTTTTTTCCCCTATATCTATGCATAATATATAATATTAACAGAGACACTTGAAATTAGACGGTAAATATATTACTTGTTTTTTTTTTCTTTTTTTTTTCTGTTCTATTATAGATACGAATTTTCTTATACGTTAAAATGGCAATTAATTTTTGTGCAAAAAAACTCCTTCCACATCATGAGAGGGACAACAAACTTACCATCTTCAGGCGTTGCTTCTACTTGGGTGATCAAAATGCACCGCGTCTAGATCAATACAGTCTGCAATTTTCAATGCACATAGATTTGATTGAAATGTTAATATGATCCATATATAAAAAAAGTAAAAATATATGAAAAAAGAAAAAGAACAAGAACAAGAACAAGAAACAAAAAAAAAGGAATATAAATAGAAGAAAAGATATCATTCGATATCGTGTAAAAAGAAAAAAAGAACACAATAATAACAACGTTTGAATAAACGCGTCAAATACGATAATAAAATGATACATTAATTAGATGGATTCGTTAAAATTCACAATTAAAGATTAGAACCACCTTGTGTTTCTTTTAACGTCTTGTCTTCCATTGATTGATCATAAATGATGACAGATTGATGAACAAATCGACAGTCTCCGTCGTTGCAAGTTCCCATTAACTCGTAAGGACAAAGTATTCCATGAGGATTCGAGTTCCTAATTAAAAAAATATAAGAAACGCGAAAATGTGTAAATACATCTATGGGGGGTACCATTTATATTACATCGTAGAACAAACCTTGATGGTTTCAAATGTGTTAACATTGAAACATAAGGTTCGACAGGTCTCCTCCTCTGATCATCGACTTCTTGTAAAACTTTCATCCTTGTTGTTGTTGTTGTTGAATAAATAATATCACTATCTCCATTATTTCCGGTAAGATTTATACAATATTCTCCTTCCGTTCTTGTTTTATCGTAAAAATGATCATGCCTTATTATATCATTTGTTTCAGAAAGATTACTATCCTTCTTTCTACTTTCTTCTATCGTTTCTTCTTCTCCATCCCCTTGTTTCAATGATTCCTGAGTATTTGTTAATGTTTCTACAGTATTATTATCATTTTCTGATATCATTATATTATCATTCTCAAAATGATCGTCATCTTGTTGTTCCATTACAACAAAATTTGATAATATTGGTGTTTCTATTTCCATAGGTTCCGATTCGGTTTGGAATTCAGATTCGGGCTCGGGTTGGGATTCGGATTCTATTTCAATTTGAAATGCAGGTTCAGGTTCAGGTTCAATATGGAATTCAGGTTCAGGCTCGGGTTGGGATTCGGATTCTGGTTCATGTTCAGGTTGGGATTCGGATTCCAGTTCATTTTCAAGTTCTGGTTCAGTCTGTTTTTCAGGAATAATATTTGTATGCATCTCTGATACATGAACAGAGGATGATGGTACTTTCTTTTGGGAAAATTGTCGTGAATGATTGATGACCTCTTTTAATTTGTTCTCTAAAATATCTTTTCCAACTGTAGGTATTCTAATAAAAAAGGGAAAGAAAAATAAAAAATAAATAAAATGAAATATATAATTTCATGCAATAATATACACAAGAAGTGTGTTATCTTTTTAGAAATATTATATAAATCATGAAAATGTTCATTCATACTCATAATGCTCTCCCATAACTCTGGTGCCTAAAACTTTACAGATTTTTGACAATTTAAAACATTCTCGTCTTCCATTATTGATTTTGTTACGCGCATCCATTACTTTAGGACCTATACTATTAATTTTATTAACATGTTCCCGTAATTTAATCTCTGCCAATCTTAATTGTTCTTTTAATTTTTTTATTTCTTCCTCGGAACTTCTTTTCAAATTTCTCTCCATATTCCATTCACGTAAATCTTCTAACATTTCAGTAAGCTTGTCCACTACCATATACCTGTATCATAAATAAAATTGTCTATTTGTTTAAATATCTTTTCTTACAATTAGAGATAATAAAAGAAAGAAAGAAAAAAAGAAAAAAAGAAAAAAAGAAAAAAGAAACAACAAAATTAATTGTACCTTTCCGTAACTAATTTGTATTCCGCGTCTATTAAATGTCGTCCTTCTTCCATCTTTGGACTATCAACAAGAGAATTTAATTCTTCCGTGACATCCTTTTCTATATTTTCCTCTTCTTTCTTCAATTCTTCGAAATCTTGCATCTCATTTATTTCTATCTCATTTGTTGCTAATATTAAATCATTTTCATGACTATTTTCTTCAATAATATTGGATACATTTATATCTGTATTAGTATCTTTTTCTGCTGTTTCATCATCTTGTACCAACGTAGGTGGTAATAATTGATCCTTTAATTCTAAATACATTTCTTTGTTGTGTACATTTTCATCCTCTATCGATAAATCTACATTCAATGTGTCCAAATTATTCATATCTTCCATAATTAATTGATCCTTGTCTTTGCTCATTTCTTGTTCATTTTCTTTCGAGACAGTACAAGAAGAAGTATCTAAATAATTGTCTTTAATCATTTTGTTGTCCTCTTTGGCATGATTCTGACCAAAGTCAACATCAATTTTATCATCTTTCTTTTTATTTACATTATTATCATCTTGTTTTTTTTCATTATTTATCATTATTGTCCTATCAGATTCGTGCTGATTTATCTGAATTTGTATAAATTTATGATTGACTTCGTCCATGGTTAATACTTTCAACGAAGGTTGTTTTGCTATTTTACACTTTTTCCTATCTTGTGGATTTGTATTTTCTGATATTTGTCTTTTCACCATCAACGATTGATTACTTTCTGTTGTTTTTTTCATTATTTGATTACTTTGATCGGATGATTGTTCGTTCGACGACGTTCGTGCGTTAGATGGATTTGAAACAATCACTTGCAAAGGTGGTTTTTTTTCAGAATTTATAATAACCGAAGATGTCGAAGATGAATTTGTATTCCTTTTAATCACCTCGATATTTCTTTCGTTATTATTTTTGATAGATATTTTTAAATTTACATTTTGAGTCTTTTCAAATCCAACTGGATTCTCTTTAGACAATGGCAATGCTTCTTTGCTTAAATTATCAGACATTGTGGAATGTGACGATGTGTTATTAATATTGTTTGTTGTCTTAGAAGTACCACTTTCTGCAGTCCTTTTCTTTTGTAATATTTCACGTTCTAAAATTTGTTGTTTCAATCGACGATACTCTTCTTGCTGTGATACTGGAAGATGTCGCACTGCCTACAAAATTATTTTCACAAACAATTAATTCATTCTTATTCTAATATTTGGTTTACATGTATGTGTGCACAAATGTACCATGTAATAATACAATACACTTACCGAAGGTGTATGAACAGAAGAGGACATGTTACTTTCCGTTGACGTACCGGATGACAAATTCTTTTTGGTTACTTTATGCGAAGAAGCCATAGTAGTAGTAGTAGTAATGTGTTTGCTAGCTGCTGCAGTTTCTTGTTTCTTTCTAACATCTCTTAAAAATTGATCAACACTTCTCTCAAATTCTGTCGTAGGAATATTTAAAATCGGACGTTTTTCTACTTTATTCGAATTTGACATAGAAATAGAATTACTTTGATATCTTTCATAATCCGAATCACTTTCCTCAGAGTCAGATCCTAAATTTATCACAATGCGTTGCATGTCTGAAGATATGACTTTTGTATTACTTATCCATTTATTTTCACAAGGCCTTATACTAACGATTGGTTTATTATCTAACATTTTGTCAGCTTTATAATTAGATATTGTTTTTTGTAAAATTAATTTCTTTTGGACTACTGTATTTTGGTATTTTTTAGCATTATTAACAACTTTTGTACTTGCAGGAATTGAGACCTTTTTAACATACTTCTTAGTTGGACCTTTTAACAAAGGAAGTGGTCTTTTCTTATTACAATTTGTCATATATGTTAAACGAGAAGCCGTCGTCGTATCATTGCCACTAACATTTTCTTTTACGATATCAGTGGATGATGGTATTGACACAGAATTAACCTGCTGACTTTTGTCATCTCCAGGATTATATACAATTGTGGATTGTGATAATGAATGGGGTATAGGACTTTGAACTTGATACGTGGGTATTGCTATATCCATTTGTTGTACTTTCTGTATAACTGGGGGAACGTTACTGGTAGATGATAATGTAGCAGTTGTAGTAACCGAAGATATACTGCAAGAACTGTTATCTGAAGATTTTGAACGTTTTAATGATGCTAATAAACTTGCTCTTAATTCTTCCTCATCTTCGTCTATGCTTGGTCTTCTTTTATTTCTGTTCTCTACTACATTAAGCGACGAATTATTATTGCTCTCCACATTTATAAGATGTTGTACATTATTATCTTTTTCTATTTTATTAGATAAATGTGAATGACTTTCCTGATTCAATTTAGTTAATTTCACATTATCAGAATCATTGAGAATTGCTACATCAGATGTATTATTTTGTTCTTTGTGAATATCATTAGATGGTAATTCACTTTCCACACTCGTCACAGTTACATTTGTTTCTTCCGATGCACCACAATTATTCTCCAATTTCTTTGTATTTTCATTAGAAATTGTTATTGTAATATTTTCAATACTATTATTATTCTTTCTTTTACTTCTTCTTCTTCTTTCACGTTTCCTTTTCTTAGGTAACAAATCTGTAATATTACTAAGAACATTTATTTCTGACTTATTCAATGAAGTATTAGAACTAGTTTCTTGTTCTTTTGATGAAGAAAGTCTATGAGTGTCTTCAGTTATACTCTCGTCACTTAAACAATTTTTAAATGCTACAGGTGTAGTTAATATTGTTTGTGGTTTTTTTACAACAGACGTAAGCTTCATAGGTTTGAACTGAGTGGTTAATTTTGTATTGACATTAACATCCATTGGAATAGGTTGCATTTCGGCACTTTTAAATGTTGGTTCAATATAATTCTCATGCTTTTTCATAGGCCATGGTTGCTGCAATTGTTTATTTGATTTTAATATTGTCGCAGGAACCAATGTTTTATTAATAAGAGTAGGAATTTTATTGATATCTTTGGTAACATCTGGAACACCATGCATATAGAGCGGTTCTTCAGTTAATTTCGTATCTTTGTCAGTTGGATTGTTATTCATATTATCCTTATTTCCCAAGTTTGAAGATAAACATATTTCTGGATCAACTTGGTCTGCATTTGAAAGATCATCAATCGTTACCATTGAATCATTGGGAGATAAAGAAGAACCTTCTTCAAAGAAATGCGAAGAATCATTTTGATTTCTTGTTATTAAATTCTCCATCTCGTTAACTTGTTCTTTTTCCTGTTGATTTTCTCCTTTCAATATATTCACATTTTCATAAGAATGATCGTACATTGCTGATGACATTAAATTGTTTGAAGTTTTTGAAAAAGATGTTTGTGTCAATGGAAGCGTTTGGGATAGATCAGGGTCATATATAGGAGCATCGGTTGGTGAATAAGGTCTCTCTTGACCCATACTAATATCCATTGCCATATCATTTACATTTACATTGGTACTAGATATGTCGTTAGTCATATTACCATGAGTAACACTGAATTGAGAGGTAGAAATGTATTCGTTACTTTGTTTAGCAGTAATAACATCAGATTTGCTAGTTTCAATGGAATCAGATGGAGAATAAGGAGCATCTGTATTTATGTCATAAAATGTACTTTCAGTATTTGCACAATTAATCATATTCGATAAATAGCTTTTGTTTTCAATAATACCTGTTCTTAAAGCACCGTGTTCCAATTGATTATTTGTATTATCGAAAGGTGAACCATTAGTTCTTTTGTTAAGATTAATAAACGAAACATCAGATGTTTGCATTCCTAAAAGGTGTGTGTCTATTGGTATATCATTGGTAATATTGTCCGTTGGAGAATATGGCATTTTTTCTTTTTCCTGTTCAATATCGGTATCTAGTTCCATATCTTCGGTATGCATCATTTCATTAGAAGGAAAAAGCATTTCAGTAGCAGCTGGTGGTGGTGGTGGCAACGAATCAACATGTGTTTCACCAGGTATAGATATACTATCCAAAAAGCTCTGATCAAATGGACTTTTACTACGTGAAATAGAGGAGCTATCATGTTTTTTAGTCTTTATCCCTCTTTCTACTCTATTTTTATGTTTATTCAATACTGCAGAGCGTAATGCTAACATACGTAATGTTAAATCTTCTTCGTTATGATCATTGACATAACTGGACGTTTTACTTTCAGATTCTGTTTTGATCTGTTGTTGTTCATTGTTTTTCTCGTTACGTTTTTGTTTAGTTTCTAATGCTTTTTGTCTCAACAATGCTAAATCCTCTTCGTCGTCGGCATCATTTTTCACTTTCATATACGTAACCATCTTCTCTTTGGTAAAATTAGTTACATTATCGTTATTGTCTGACTTACCTTTCATCATATTCGACAATTTCTTTTTCAATGACGGACAGTGTTCTTTACTTTTAACATTTTCCTCTTGAACACGAACTCTAATAGAATCTAAAAGTCTTACTTTCTCTAATAATTTATTTACATCGCCATAGGCATTGTCATTAAAAGCATCGGACGAAGGCAACTGTTCTTTTTTCGACATCTTTTTTGATATCGCTCTGCTACTAGGTGATCGGTGTACGGATCTTTTTGGAGATCTAAGTCTACGTGGTGATTCTCTCAACACCACCGGCGATCTGCTACGCATGATGGGCGATTTTGATTTTCTATAAGGCATTTTGAACCACGTTGATGATCTGCGTCTTCTACTTGGAGATTTATTACTTATTCTTGATCTCCTATGCAATGGACTTAAATCTCTACGATGAGATCTTGACAAACGATCTACTTTAGAATTGTCATTGTCATGTTTTAACGTGGTCTCTCCTACAACTACACTTATCGTCGAGGACGAAGAAACCAAGTTATCATTATCGGTGCTGGAAACGTGATTCCTTTCCTTTTTTTTCTTTTTCTTACTTCTATATCTCGGCATAGAATGCTTTTGTTGAGAATTATCCGCAAGACCAACAATTTCCATATCGCTATCACTAGAAATAGGTACAAGATCGTCATTTTTTTCTTGTAACGTTGAGACAGAATGTTTGACTCCTGCTGATCCTGAATCTTTTGCATAATGTCTATTTTCCTTTTCTTGGACTGTATCTTGATGAGAGAAAAAAAAAACAACAAGAAAGAAATTTCTATTTCATTAGATAAATAATACACAAATTTACAGTGGATATTAAATCAATGTATCAATTAATTATCCATTAGTACTATCTTTAAAATAAAAGATAAATCACTTAACGTATTGTCATAGACTTAAGAAGAATATTTACTATTTTAAAAAAGATAAGAAAATAAATTGTTACCTTTTCTAATAGAACTCTTGTGATGGTAATATTTAGCAGAAGTGCACCATGGCGCACAACGTTGAGTGGAAAGACAATTAATACATTTTTCAATTTTGATCCCATATCCATAACTAATGTGCCCTTCCTCGGAAGAGCTCACATCTTCCAAAGATATTTCACCTTCCTCTTTCTCATCCAAAACTTCGAGAGATTCGTTACATCCACTTGATAAGTCACTAGCCATTATTAAACTTACCCTCGTTATATAAATAATAATTACAGGGGTCCATCCGTGATTAACAAAAAATGATTAATGAAAATTTGCAATATCTAAATTTATTTGACGACAAGAGAGACAAAGAAAGAAAGAGAGAGAGAGAGAGAGAGAGACAGACAGAAAGAAAAAAAGTAAGGTTAACTACGCGTCAATGAAAAACTGTGTAACGTACGTTAAACTTATATTTCAAGGCTATACGCGTAATATCATTTAAATTATTATCTATTTCAAATTTCTATTGTAAATATTGTAACGTTAATATATATATATCCAAAGCAACTCTAACTAATTTTATAATCTTATATTTGTTCAAATAATATCTCACCACTCTTCCCCCGCTTTTATTGCATAAACTGATTCACGCTTACTTGTGCTTTCTTTAGTACCATTGTCCTAAAAAACATGGCTACCAATATCCTACGTGTTCCAACTTTAAATGTTACTGTATATAGTAACATTCTATTTTGTTTTATCGATTATTATTGATTTATTTTTGTTTTGTTTTTTTTTTCACAGATTATTACGATATTAATATAAATGATGATATTTCTTTTATTACTAATATGTATAATGACTTATGTATTTATATTACAAGTGTACATAGGTTATAAATGGCTACGTAACAAAATGTTATCAAAGATAAACAACTGTAATCTTTTATTTTCGATCTATCTTTGAATGTGGTCTTTTCTTAAAAATGTTAAATTCGGACAATACATGATTATCGAGTAAATCTTTATCAAATATAAAACGTGCCAATGATTGATCCCCTATGCCTGATAAAATTGTTACGAATCTTGCCATTTCATTGACACTTTTCATTTGATTTTCCATAAAACCTGTGACAATGAAATCACTTGCATTTAAATCACCATGTTTTTCAGCTGTTGCGTTTACATTGACCAATTTTTCACTGACTTCTAACTCAAGCCCCAGGGCAGTCTGAGATTTGATTATTTGTAAATATAATTAAAAATGTAATATTATATTTATACTAATGTACGTTTATTTATTCGAGATTACTTTAAATGCACGAAGGGGGCACTTCCAATCAGGATCAACTGGTGGTAAAATAGGACACAATTCTATTTGGCCGCCACGCATTTTAACATAATCGATAAATTGCAAAGCATGTTCGTGCTCTTCTTGATGCATTTGCATAAAAAATGATTCGCAACCTGGCAATGCAACGTCTACGCGCCCAAAATATGCGGCCTTTCTCGTGTACGTTCATTCGTGATATGTTTGTAAAAAAATAAAATAAAGATTAGGTTTATTAAATGTATAATTTAAATGCAAAGTGCATCAAATGCACTGGAAAATATAATATTTTCTTACCATAGATAAGTAATAATAAAAAGCTTTAAATTCAGCATTTATTTGTTTATTCATAGCAGCTTCAGTTTCTTCGTGAAATTTGAAATGGCTTCTTTTCCCGGTCGGCCATTCCATTGGTTTATCGATACAGATGGCGTTGTCGTCGAGCGAATTTTTATTTGAATTTTCTTTCAAAATCTTTGTAGTCATATCTCGTTGAATATTAATATTTAAAAAGTTACTAAAATTTAATCCAAAATAAAGAATAATAATTTAAATTATATATATTTATATTTATTACGATTTATTTGATAACTTACTTTCGAAATAATTGGTTATCTTTAATTAGACATATTTTAATTTGAAGTTTACGTAGACAGTCGCGTCTTCGCAACATTGCCAACATATTTGTTTTTTAAATAAATTTAATCCTCGACATTTGTGTCAAATTAACTTTGTAACATCTGTTTCCTTACATTAGTACTTTTTAATATTTTTATTTCTATTACATACTATTATAAATTTCATTTTAAACGATTATGGTTTCGATCGAGAATGAAAGGGAAAGCCATATAGATTAGCATTGTTTTGTTGTACGTCGCAAAATCGCAGATAGCAATGACATATGCATTTATACATACATACATATAAATATATATATACTAGATGAACCGAAAGTTTGATTTAATTTATTTATAATATGATCTAATAAGATAACTCGTAGAAAAAAATATACGCTGTCGTTTCACTCTATCATTTCTTTGTCGAACACGTATACTCCAAGACCTTCTCCAACCATTTCGAGATTAGTAACATAATCGGCGATCTTCTTGATGGAATCCACTTGTTCTTGAAGAAATTCTGTCTCCAAAAAGTCCATAAAATTGGCATCAGAGTGTTTTGAAGCAATGGCGTGTAATTCCAATAAACTCTAACAATAAAATGCATTATTATAAATATAATCATTAAAAAAAAAAGATGAGAATGGATAAAAAATAATATATTCGAAATTGATAAATAAATTTGTGTATTAATTAATATATAAATAAATTATATTAATATTTTTTATATAGAAAATGTTGTCATTATTAATTGATCAATTGAATTGAATAAAAAAAAAAGACAAAAAAAGATTATGGAGGAGCTGGGATTTGAACCCAGGACTTTCCGCATGCGAAGCGGACACTCTACCACTGAGTTACACCCCCTGTTTCTAAGAAATCTGTGTAACTCGAACTAACCACGATAGAATACTTTGAAAGTGTACGTGATATTAACGTATGTTCATTAATTAAATTAACTAACACATGTGAAAATAAACTTGTAAAAGATACACCGACATTGTTCTCCGTAAAAAAAAAAAAACACAAAGTAATAATATGTGAAAATGTTTATGTAAAAGTTTATATCGAAAGTATATAGCCGATATAATTAATTAAATAAAGAGACATACCTCGTTTACTCTTTTTTCCAAATTTAAAGCTTCGGTCATGGCATTTTTTGCAGATAACCAATCGTTTGCTTGCGGTGCGTCGATGTTCGTTAATATTATATCGCCACCCCTTTTATTTTGATACGTCATAAATTTCATGGCATGTTCACGTTCCTCGTCAGATGCTTTTTTGAAGTATTTGTGTAGCCCTGGCAAAGCAACGTTGCTTCTATCGAAGTAGTAAGCCTGAAAATGATCAATAATGTCCTAACAACTCCGAAGTTGACAGAAACGGACTCGCTGTACAATTTTGTCTCGATAAAATAATACAAAATATATCTTTATACAAAAAGCATATAATATATTGATTATGTACCATAGACAAATAGACGTAACTTGCATTCAATTCCATGTTGATTTGTTTATTTATTCCATTTTCGCAGTCTAGATGAAAATTTTGCTTTACGACACTCATGATTTGAAATATTTTGTTTATTAGACCTTTTAATTGTCTGTTGAAAATAATATATATATATATAATTTATTTATAATTTAAGGTTATTTAATTCGTCTCACGAAAGTTTGTAATATACGGTTGTATATATTTTTAAAGATATTATACAACGAGGTTACGCATGAACTGCAGGATGGATGAACGTTTGTATGCTATTGCGCGTTCGCTGCAGATATCTAAGGATATATGTATACAATTTAATAACCAGTGGCGTATAGCACTGCGATCAAGTGTAAGACTAATAATAGCGGGAATTCAAGATTGAAAAATATTATTTATAATTTTATAAATACTTATCGTTGATAAAATTTTGTCGAAAATAAACAAATTTTGTTTACATTCAAAGATTTATCGTGAGAGACATTAATTCATATCGAATATCAAATTGTATACTATTATTTCAATTGTTTTAAAATGAGATTCGTTTTTCAAAACAAATATAAACAATACAGATATCTTTTTTCCCCTTATTCGTTGATTTTTTCTGACTTTCGTTTAAATTTTAATGTTAATACAAGTGTATTGTTTCAATACGACATATAATTTGTCTTGAACTTTATTGTTTCTTTTAGTATTGAATATGATTGGTTTAGATATGTTTTACTTACTGGCCAATCGTGTTCGAGGATTCTTGTAGGACGAGTGATGCTATTGGTTATCCTGGAAATAATATTAATACATATATTTTTATTATAAACGAATGTTACAAGATTTGTTAATAAAAGAGGAAGAAATTGATATTAACTGATCAAAATATTTGTTTTTTTATTACATTTATCAGACAAAGTAATTTAAAATATATTTCAGTATTTTACAAATATTAGAAGGTATTTATTCGAAAGAGACGTTTCTGTCGATAATGCAGCAACGCGTTTAATTATTCTAATATCCGCTAGAGTTCGCTTAACTAACATAAAATATTTTTCAATTGTGTGACACTTGTACAGTTTTTTAAAGTTTATTTTCGTGTTTATTATCAAAAGACAGAATTATTAGAAAATGTCAGTGTTATTTCGGTAAGTAAATTTTGTTTTTGTGAAATTATTGTACTTTGAAAATTATATTTTTATTATTTTTATCAATCATACATTATAACATTATATTTTGTTGGTTAAACAAATGATACAACTTCAGAGATTATTTTCAATATAATAATCTATCTAAGAGATTATTATATGTATTTTATTTAAAAACATATAAATTACATACAAAACTGTATATTTTCAACTAACACTTGATAAAATTATTATAAATTTTAATAATATCATACACCATGACGACACATTATCATCCAAATAAATTATCCCAGTATGTTCTGCAAAAGAAAATTTCGAATTATTACATAACTTTCGAAATGACAATTAATTATATTCCCACAGGATTTATTTATCCTTTTTTTTTTTTCTAATCAAAAGGTCGACGTCGAAATATCAAATTACTTTTCTTTTTTTTTTTTTAATTCTAAAGATATTGAATATTATCAATAATTATAAAGGAACAATTTGCATGACAAATCTTTGGTCTTGTTGAAATAAACTTGCGTCAAAGTAAATTGTCGAAGAAGTCGTCAATATGATAAAGGTGATTAAAACTTCAGTCAAAAGTTTTTTAGGGTTCTCTTACGATAGTATAGCAGTGTAGCACATTTCCATCGACGTATCGACCTTGATGTTCCGTGGAAGCCCCATCATAGCCGCTGTCACACGCACAAGAGTCTTATGTCTAATCTTGTGCAGTGGCCAGCAGCTACACTGGGGTCCAATAGTGTTCCTTGATCGCGTCTGTGATATCATTGTTTTTATCGATCTTTCGTTTAGCTATAACAACAATCATTTATAAAACATTTAGAAAATTAGAATTTAGAGAAACGAAAGATCGTTTAACATTCGATCGATTCCTATGATTAAAAGAACGAATATACAACAACAAATTTTTTTTTAACATTTGTTTTAACAATTGTAACATTTCTTTTCATCATTCAACATTAAAAGACCGACGATATTAATGTCTACTTTTGTTTTTTTTTTTTATTTATTCTCTTTGTTTTAACAACGCGATCACGGACATTATATATGAAAAATAGCTAAGGTACCAATTGCAATAGACATTGTTGAAAAGTGTCCGATATTTGATCGGCAAAGGAAAATGTTAGACAACTATAGATAGGATTTATGCATAGATATTAGTTATGCGCGTGTATATAGTGCGATAACATTTTTTCTCTTTTTGCTAAAATAAGTAAAGTAAGTCGGTAAAATACTAGAGCTGTGGGTGCTTGGACATCTGCTGGCAACTGCATAGCTAAGCTAGAACGTTTCAATTCGAATACAAAATTCAGTAGTTTCGATCTCTTTTCTCTTCAAAGTATATATGCTGGACTTACTAGAAACCTAGTGTCGTTTGCATATCTCACCGACTTTCTTCTACCAAACTCTTTTTATCCTCTATTCTTTTTTTTTCTTTTCCCTTCTTTTATTATCTACCCGTATCCTTAGTATTATCTAATATTATTATTTTATTTAACAAAGGAAGAAAATAAGAGATCGTACATCTCGTAGCCTCTTTTCTTTCTCGAAAGTTTCCATTGCGTCCCTCCCTTTCTTTCAAATTGGAACATTTACAATCCCAAGAAGGATCCTTGTCGACGATCCATATTGGTGATCGAAAATCCAACGTGAAAATTCACGTGATGCGTGATGACGATAGATATTAGAAAATTTCTCACAAATTTGTATCCTTTATCTTTTGTGACACAAACTTTATCGTATCCCTTAAAAATGAAAATAATACAAAATAACAGTAATCAAATAGAAAGAAACTAAGTAAGACAAAACGTTGGTGCGACCCTGACGAAAGAAACTGAAATATTTCAATATCGCAAGAGACTTAGAAATGGTGTGGCACTTAAAAAATCGACGACAGTAAAGTCATGAAAAGACACTGCACGAACAATAATCGATGAAAAAAAAAAAAAAAATAATAATATGTGAGTTCGCACTCGTTTATTTCCGTTGCACCGTTGAAGCACAACTGCCGTTAGTTTCTTAGTTCACCCTTCGTTATATACTAACACACCACGTGGTTACTTAATCCATTGGCCAATGAAAGTATGGCTTTAGAAATAGGGGACCAATGATTGTTCCTCTTTAAGCTAGCAAGACACGTGTTTCTTCGGAAATAAGGGCATAGCCAGTATTACGAACAAAATCGTATTTGCGTTAACCGAAGTCAGACACGATCGAATCGCATAGCTCTGACACACACGCTCCATCATACATACCGAATATCCAATTTTTATTTCACTTCATCTTTATCCGCTTACTATCTATATTTTTACCAACCCCCTTTTACTTGTTTCTTCCACATGTGAAAGATCTCTATCCATTCAAAATAAGATCACTTTGAATGATTTTTATTTCTTAATTTATTAAACAAGTCTCAATATATATATATATATATATATGAGATTTCGTTTTTGTTTGATGTTGCTATATTATTCCATAATAACATGATTAAAATAAGATAAATTTATCATCTATTAAAATAGGATAGTTTATCATCTATTTTTTTGTTTTGTTTTTTTATTACAACGAATCTCTATAGGATTTTGATCTATTTATTTAGTTATATTTCAATGTTGATCGCGTAAACGAGTTCTCCCAAATACTATTATATAAGTTTATTTATCTTCTGACCCGACTAATGCCGTCTGGCAGTGGTGCCGTTGGTGGTAGTGTTTAATGATATTGTGAAGAGGTGAATCCTTAAAACGTACCCCACATACATACCGACGTGAAGCAATTACCCCGTTCGGTAAATAGTGGGATCCGGCATTAGGACGACCTAATTTTCATACCTGTGCTCCCTGCCTGTGCTCCCTGCCTGTGCAGAGACACTAACTCATGGAATTCTTCTTTTCTCATTCTTATTCCTCCTTCTTTTTCCTTCTCTGGCACAGTTCTATTGCATTCCTTCTCTTCCTACTGTATCCCATGAAATAAATATTAATTCTGATTTAGTTTTTCTTTCTTTGACGATTTAAGTTTCATTATTTGCATTAGTTTTAAACAAGGACAGAAAACAGTGGAAGAGAAAGAATGAAAACTTATAACGATCTTTAAACTATAAATAAACTCGTCTACAGTTTCTGATTATTATAACACGATTATGTGATCTGTTCGTAATAGATACACATACATAATATATTATATATATATATATATATATATATACACACGTAATATTAAATAAATCCTTTATATATAAAAATACAAACAAATGTGTTCCAATAATCCTAATTAATATAACATTAATAATAATCCTGTTCGCATTCATACGCATAAATGAAAAGGATTTTTATTTTATTTTTTTTTTAATATAATTAAATGATAAGTTTATCTCATCCCTTAGATCATAACTCTATAAGATGTAAGAAAAGAAGGAGTATAAGGAAAGCGTAGCAAGGTGAGATAGGAATGCGTCAGAGTGGACACATTACGTCCCTGCCAATATGGAAAGAGGGTTTGAGGGGTACACTAGGGGGTAACACTAGCTGAGTAAGCTCCAAACACTTTTTAGGATTCAGGGCTTAGCACCCTTGGCTCAGGCTTCGTCCGTCTGCCTGGCCCAACCTGCTTCTTCTCCACTGACGGTTACTCAAACCTTTTCTTCTCCTTTTGAATCATGTTTCACTTTTTTTCTATTCTCACGTATTCAATTGTCACTTCAATTTCATACATCTTTTTTTAGTCATATTTAATTATATAAAATAGTAAATAATCTTTCATAGCGTTGACCACCACGTATGTAAGTTTGATCAATTTTCTTGCAGAGGTCACAATTTTAAAATAAGATATCAAACGATATACGAATGATACTCGTAGTCCCATTGAAAGAGCAAATGGTGATCACAGGTGACCAACCAATGGCCATGGTGGTCAATGCGTTATAGTTCAATTTTTGATAACATTTCTTACTTACACTTGGTTTTTTTTTTGGTGATATTATTATCCATTTGAATTATCCAATCTAAGTTCGTCGATCACATAGGTACCCATCTTAAGTTTATGTCATATTTCATATCGCAAATTTACAATGAAATAAGACAGAAACATAAGACGGCTTGCCTATTTTATACTTCTTTTTTTATTTCTTCTTCTTCTTG